AGTTTGTTTCTCAGAGTCCATAGTCTCTCATGGTTCGTCTCCCCCTCTGATTTCCCTCCCTTCATTTTTCCCTTCCTACTATCTTCTTTTTTTAAAACATATAATGTATTATTTGTTTCAGAGGTACAGGTCTGTGATTCAACAGCCTTGCCACAATTTTTAAAAAAGTAATTCCAAACTGAGTCAATGAAAGAGGGTCCCTGACAGAATAAGTGTAGAGTTAACACTCCGCACAACTGGGCATCTGCAATCCAGGAACAAGTGTCATTCAATGACCAGAGCTACTATTAAAAAGACCCCAAGGCCTAATACATTTATTATTCATTACAGCTGTATCCCCGCTTTCAAAAGGGCCTCAGTCAACAGGTGTTGATTTATATTTTAGGTTAGTAGCCATATATATGGTCCATGTTAACTTCTGTCTTTGATAATCCCATCCGCATTCATTCTACATGTTCTGGGGAATCAGCACTAGCCCAAGAGGCTTCTCACCCTCTGAGATCCAGCTCAAAAGTTTCCTCTCTGGAGGACCTTCTCTGACTTTTCCTCTAGTCTCTCTCTGGTGCTCCTTAAGCACTCTGTGCATTCCACCATGAGAGGACATATCTATTTAAGGTGTAACCTTAGCTTAGGTGACTGTCTCCCCACTCAAAAGCACAATGTCAGGTTATAGCAGATGCTCAGTGAGGTTTAATGAACAAAGTCCCACACAAAGGACACATTTCCAGATGCCCCTGGATTCTGTTTCTATCACTGATGTTAAATGTAGCTGTGAACACAGTTACTGCTTTTCTGGGGACTAATGCTTAAATGGGGGCCATTTTAACAGATCTATAGTCGCATAAGAACTTGAGGTCTCAATTGCTGAATGAGGTGAATTAGCTGCCTCCAGAAATCATAGCAACTTCACTGAATAACATTAATCCCTTTATAAACAAAGAGATAAACTAAACAGAAAGTTATTGATTTAACAGAGATCAATCAAAGAACAAAGCAAGCTGATTATCTAAGCATGCCTGGATTTAAGAATAAAAACTTAAAATGTATCTGGTATGTTTATCTAAGATTCTCCAAAATCCTCTTGTGTTCCCAAAGGTGATTAGGCCTCCTAAATATGAGGACTCTAATTCTAACACACCTCCCTCAAAAGATTACCAAAGCCCTCTGTTTGCTCACCAGAGGTTAGTCTCTCCTGACACTTTCACTAATTCACTTCTCAAATTCTCTAAAGGACAATACCCCTCTCCAAAAAAGAAAAAAATTTAATCTTTCTTCTTACTCTTACGTTAGGGTCTCTAGTTCTTTGTTTACCCATTCATCACTTCCCAACCCCTTATGGAGGGAATAAAAACTACAGCTGAGGATGGCTTCTGATTCAAAATCTGTTTCCAAACATAAGCCACATCTGTGTGGGTACAGTGTGGGTGCAGTGTGGGAGCACATTCACTTTGAGATGTTAGTAATGATCGTCCCCAGACTGTGGTCTTGGGATGTCAGGGGACGGTCTGCAGAGGGGGCAAGGGCCAGGCTTCACTTCTAGAATTGCTTCAGTCAAAGCTGAAGGTGGGTTTCTACTCAGGAAATCATCCAAACTCTCCTTAATTTACCTTCAATTAGGCATGTATAAACCATCACTTTGGGGTCACTACAGTGTCAGTGGCCCCTTCCCTGCATGCATCAGCACCCCCTTACCTCCCAGGCAGGCACCAAGGGCCAGGGCATACATGAGTGGTGGTGCAGGCAGGCTGACCTCGGGGTCTTGGCTGAGGTTCAGGAGCACAGGAATCTGTAGAGGAAAAGAGCACTAAAATCACATCCATGGAAACCCAGAGGAGCTTCCCATACTGTAACTGATTTGCAAGATCCAAAGCACTTTTTCAGTAAAATCCTGTAGAACCTCCTGCAGTGGCTGTGACCATAATCATAACCATCTAGCCAGCATTTCGTAGCCCTGCAGTGGACCAAGTCCTATTCTAATTTCATGCACATATCATTTTATCTAATCCTCAAGCATCTCTCAGGTGTATTTGTTATTCCTTCAATCAATAGATGAGGAAATCAAGGCATGGAGAGACACTTATCTTATAAGTGACCAAACTGGAACCTGAACACAGTTCTCTGATTCCAAACTGCAAAATGGCAAACCTGTGCTAAACCACTTCTCACCACTGACCTCTGTGCAGTCTTCCCGACCCTGCTGATGTTCTTACGATAACAGGTATCGATTCAATAACTAGAAAGTAGTATTTTCTAGTTAGTCATGCTAGCATCCAGTGTATCTTTCTGACAGATGAATTTTACATTATTGTTATTAAAAAAAAGTAGCAGTTGTGAAGCTTCTGTAAGAAATTTGTGTTCCAAAAGCATATCCCCTTGTGGCTCATGTTGCTAATGGAGGAGAATGTAGCCAGAGGGAGGATATAGCTATGAGGCCTACTTCCAGCTGGCCTGGGGGGAATGTTGGTCTATATTGTCACTGCTGGGCACCTCAGGGCAGCCCACAAGATGTTAAGGAGAGACCCTTGAATCTGCTGCCTCAGGGAAGTTGCCTTGTGTGAACATCTCTAAAGAGCAGGAGGAGGGGGGGCTCCAATGGTAATCCCTTCAGAAAGGATTTCCCAAAGTCACAAGAAGAAAGCTGAAACCAATGGGAAGATATGTGACATGTGATTTCATTTGCTGTAGAGAATCAGGGGACAGCAGAACCATGCTCTTCTGGAGAGCAAGTCACTTGATATCATAAAAAGTAATGCCTCGTTGTTTATCTAGGAAGATTGGATTACTCCCTAGTTCTTTATCCCTGCAGTAGGACTCTACATGCATGCCTCTGTGGTGGCCCCCAGTGGGGCGGAAAGATCCATTCCCTCACCCCACTGACATTGGGCTTAGCCAGTGACTTGCTTTGACCAATGAAAGGTAGGTGGACTAGAAAGAAGCATCCCATGTTGCTGCAAGACTCTCTGGAGCTTCAGGTTCAGCCATAAGAAGAGTATGCCCTAGGAAATACTGCAGCCCTATGGGGTCCCCAGAGGGAGGACATGCTGAGGGGGCCCCATCAGCCTCAGCAGAGACTGACCAGCAGGCTGCAGCCAACCTGCAGACCTATGCACCTACTGCACACACTCCTCTCTACCAGCCTACTGCACATGTTGCTCGGCCAGCCCTGCATACAGTCCTCCAGAGTTGCCTTGTAAGGTCTGAGAAAGAGCCCTTACTATTTGTTGGGTCATAGGAGCATTTTAAAAAGCTCACTTTTTCATTTTTGGCAGCCCCAAATATTAACTGGAAGAAACAGAAACACCTGGCACAGGAGTCCCTGAGCAGCCCACATGGCTTATTTCAATCTTGGCTTTTGTTGTCTCATAATGAACCCAAATGTTGTCACAAAGGCAGTTTCAAACTTGAAGTTTTGGCTCTTTGGAGGAGCAAGAAAAGTGCAGCTTCACACAGCATTGGGCATCTGTCCTCTGGAAACTTCCCTGATTTTCCCAAAGTGGCTGATGTTTTATATCACATTATGCCCAGAACTTACTTCCATTGTTACATTTATTTTTTTAATTTTATTATGTTAATCACCATACATTATCACAATTCCGGACTTCCAGCTCTCTTACAAAGCTGTCATCATCAACACAGTATGGTACTGGCACAGAAAAAACCCACACAGGTCAATGGAACAGAATAGAGAGCCCAGAAATGGACCCTCAACTCTATGGTCAACTCATCTTTGACAAAGCAGGAAAGAATGTCCAATGGAAAAGACAGTCTCTTCAACAAATGGTGTTAGGAACATTGGACAGCCACATGCAGAAGAATGAAACTGGACCATTTCCTTACACCACACACAAAAATAGACTCCAAATGGTTGAAAGACCTCAATGTGAGACAGGAGTCCATCAAAATCCTAAAGGAGAACACAGGCAGCAACCTCTTTGACCTCAACTGCAGCAACTTCTTCCTAGAAACATCGCCATTGTTACATTTAATACACACCTTACTCCTCTACCAGGGTGGGACCTTATTACCTTGTCCATGTTCCTTTCTGTCTTAAAGCATTCAATAATTATTCATAAATGACCTATTGCTGCAGTACTTGTCTGTTAATGCTATGTGCACATAGCAGTTCCTATAAGAGACAAAATTCCCTGCCCTCACAGAGCTTACATTAGAGTAAGTGGAGAGAGAGAAAAAAAATTAAACAATAAATAAGGATGTCATAGAAGATAGCAGAATAGGAAGCTCCAGAAATCCACCCCTCCACCCAAACAATTATTAAAGACAACAACTATGAAGTAACTGTATAAATTTCCAAGGGCTGCCATAACAAAGTAGCTTGAAACAAGAGAAATACATTGTCTCACAGTTATAAAGTTTGAAATCCTGTTAGTAGGGCCATGCTTTCCCTGACAACTCTAGGGGAAGATCCTCCCTGCCTCTCCTAGCTTCTGGTGGTTGCCAACAATCCTTCCTTTCAGGTGCCTTACTCCAGTGACATGGCCAACTTCTCTTTATGTGTCTTCATATGTTCTTCCTTCTTTGCATGCCTGCTTCTGCATCCAAACTCCCCCTTTTTATAAGAATACCAGTCATATTGGATTAGGGCCCATCCTAATGAACTAGTTTTAATTTCAAGATCTCTATAAAGACCCTATTTCCAAATAAGGTCACAATTTCAGGAACCTGGGATTAGGACTTTAACCTATCTTTTGGGGAGATACAATTCAATCCATAACAATACAGGTATACTTTCTTTATTGCACCTTCCTTTATGGTGCTTCACAAATACTGCATTGTTTACAAGTTGAAGGTCTGTGCAACCCTTCATGGAGCAAGTCAATTGGCACGCCATTTCTCCAACAGCATTTGCTCACTTTGGATCTCTGTGTCACATTTTGGTAATTTTCACAATATTTCAAGCTTTTTCATTATGATAATTTTTGTTATAGTGATGGTTTTTGAAAGAAATTAAAAGTGCTACTCCAGTGAACACATAAATGATAAGACAGTAAAACAGCTTTATTGCTGATATGGAGAAAGTTTTAGTGATCTGGATAGAAGATCAAACCAGCCACAACATTCCTTTAAGCTAAAGTCTAATCCAGAGCAAGGCCCTGACTCTCTTCAATTCTATGAGGGCTGAGAGGTGAGGTAGCTGTAGAAGAAAAGTTTGAAGCTAGTAGAGGTTGGTTCATGAGATTTAAGGAAAGAAGCTGTCTCCATAACATAAAAGTGCAAGGTGAAGCAGCAAGTGCTGATGTAGAAGCTGCAGCAAGTTATCCAGATCTGACTCAGATACTTAATGAAGGTGACTACACTAAATAATAGATTTTTATGTAGACAAAACAGCCTTCTATTGGAAGAGGACGCCATCTAGGATTTTTATAGGTAAAGAGGAAAACTCAGTGCCTGGCTTCAAAGCTGCAAAGGATAGGCTGATTCTCTTCCTAGACGGTAATGCAGCTGATGACTTTAAGTTGAAGCCAATGTTCATTTACTATTCTAAAAATCTGAGGGCCCTTAAGAATTATGTTAAATCTACTCTACCTGTGTTCTAAAAATGGAATAGCAAAGCCTAGGTGACAGCACATTTGTTTACAAAATGGTTTAGTGAATATTTTAAGCCCACTGTTAAGACTTACTGCTCAGAAAAAAAAAAAAAAAAGATTTATTTCAAAATATTACTGTTCATGAACAATTCACCTGGTTATCCAAAAGCTCTGATGGAAATGTACAATGAGATTAATATTGTATTCATGCCTGCTAACACAACATCCATCTGTAGCCCATGGATCAAGAAATAATTTCAACTTGGGGGCGCCTGGGTGGCTCAGTCATTAAGCGTCTGCCTTCAACTCAGGTCATGATCCTGGGGTCCTGAGATCGAGCCCAGCGTCGGGCTCCCTGCTCAGTGGGAAGCCTGCTTCTCCCTCTCCAACTCCCCCTGCTTGTGTTCCCTCTCTTGCTATCTCTTTCTCTGTCAAATAAATAAATAAAATCTTTAAAAATAAAAAAATTTAAAAATTAAAAAAAATAATTTCAACTTTCAAGTCTTATTGTTTAGGAAAAAGTTTTTTTAATATTATAACTGCCATAGTGATTACTCTGATGGTTCCGGGCAAAGTCAATTGGAAACCTTCTGGAAAGGATTCACCATTCTAGATGCCATTAAGAACATTCATGATTCATGGGAAGATGTCCAAATATCAACATGAACAGGAGTTTGGAAGAAGCTGATTCCAACCCTCATGGAGGACTTTGAGGGGTTCAAGATTTCAGTAGAGGAAGCAACTGCAGATGGGGTGGAAATAGCAAGAGAACTAGAATCAGAAGTGGAGCCTGAAGATGTGACTGAATTGCTGTCATCTCATGATGAAACTTTAACAGATGAGGAGTTGCTTCTTACGGATGAGCAAAGCAAGTGGTTTCCTGAGATGGAATCTACTCCTGGTGAAAAGGTTGTGAAGAGTGTTGAAATGACAACAAAGGACTTAGACTATTACATAAATTTAGCTAATAAAAGAGCAGCAGATTTTGAGAGGACTGACTCCAATTTTGAAAGAAGTTCCACTGTGGGTAAAATGCTATCAAAGGGCATCACATGCTACAGGGAAATTGTTCATGAAAGGAAGAGTCCATAGATATGGAAAACTTCATTGTTTTCTTGTTTTACGAAATTGCCACAGCCACCCCCACCTTCAGCAACTACCACCCTGATGAGTCAGCATCCATCAACATGAAGATAATTCCCTCCACCAGCAAAAAGATTATGGCTCGCTGAAAGCTCAG